TTCAGTTAGCCCAATGATTCTTAAATGATCTCACCTTGATCTATTTTCCAGGTCAGTTGTATTTCCAATGAGATATTTCACATTTTGTTCTTTTTTTTTTATTCTTTTGACTTTGTTTTATTGTTTCTTCATGTCTCATGGAGTCATTAGCTTCCACTTATCCAATTCTAATTTTTAAGGAATTATTCTCTTCAGTGAGATTTTGTACCTCTTCTTTCCATTTGGCCAATTCCGCTTTTTAAGGAATTATTTTCTTCAGTCAATTTTTGTACCTCCTTTTTCATTTGGTCTATTCTGCTTTTTAAGGAGTTATTTTCTTAAGTATTTTTTGTACCTCTTTTACCAAGCTATTAATTTTCTTTTCATAGTTTTCTTGCATCACTCTCATTTCTTTTCCCAGTTTTTCCTCTACCATTCAGTTTTTTCTTTAGCTTTTCCAGGAATTCTTGTTGGGCATGGGTCCAATTAGAATTTTTCTTTGAGGCTTTGTTTATTGATGTTTTCACATCGTTGGCTTCTTCGGAGTGTATGTCTTGATGTTCCCTGCCACTGTAGTAGCTTTTTATGGTCAATTTATTTTTTTGTTGTTTGCTCTCATTTTTCTAGCCTATTTCTTGACTTTGAACTTTATGTTAAAATTGGGCCCTGCTCACCTGGGGGTGGGGAGGCACTGCCTAAGCTTTAGCCTTTTTCATGCTATTGTTTTCAGAGCTAGTTCTGGATATCTGTAAGTTTTTGTTACTCCAAAGTGGTATGATCCTGTGAGGTGTGGTCTGCACTCTGGTCTTTACCCAGGAAGGGCCCTGGTTCCCTGGAGCAACTCTTTTAGTACTCTCTTTGCCTTGGAACTGAGACCAGGGACCCTACTCCCTTGTGACTGACCCCCAGCTCTCTTCTCCACTCTAAAACTGTGACTCAGAACTGTGTATAGGCAATAGATTTGCCAATCAGTGCCATCTGTACTTTGTAATAGCAAAGGGTCCCCTGTAATCTCTTTCTTACCAGTTGTCTGGCCCATTTACCTTGTCTGGGCTGAGAGCTCCCAAAGCTGCTGCTGTTGTTGTGACCACTGTTGTTGTTGCCAGGTATGCGGGCCCCTGGACAGGCTTCCAACCCAGTGTCACCAACTTCTCTTGCCAACCTCCTAAGTTTTCTTAGGCCAGAAAAATACCTTGCCTTGATCTTTTGTTGGCTCTGTTGCTCCATAATTTCATTCATGTCATTGTTTTAAAGTTATTTGGAGAAGAATATTGAGAGAGTTCAGCTGAGTTGCCTCTAATCTGCCATCTTGGCCAAGTGTATTCATTATTAAAAAAAAAAAAAGCTTGGGAATTATAACTGCTACTTATTTGCAGCAGCAAAGTTGTAATAATTTCAAGCATCACCTGGGAAGTAATGGAATTATAAGTTGAGCAAGAGGAATGGGGGTTAGGCAAGCCTAGAGACCACATACCCTGGAATGCTTCGCTCACTGCAAAGGCAATCATCATATGGTCATTTAAGCTCTCTATGAGTTCTGATTTTATGCGAAACTTCATAACTGTCTAAGTTCACAGAGAGACTTAGGACTGTGAACTGTTAATGATGTGTTATTTTATAAAGAACTTCAGCTACAATTATTAGATACTGAATATTATTACAATACTTAATGTGACATTGTAGTATCAGTGGGAACAGCCTGGCCCTGGGACATCTGAATTCTAGTCCCAACTTTGCCACTAATTTTCTGTGCAACCCTCTGCAAGTCAATTCATAGCTATAAGGTTCAGTTTTCTCATCTATAAAACAAGAGAGTTTGATTATGTCATAGACCTAAGGTTAAAAGGGACCTTAGAGATCTAGTTCTATCTCCTCATTTTAAACATGAGGAAACTGAGGCCCAGAGAAGTGACTTGCTCAAAGTCACAAGGTAGAGTCACTTTTCAAGGTCAGGTCCAGTGAATTATACTGATGATCTCCTAGATTTCTTAATAGCTCTACGTTTCTATTGGACAAGACTTCATAATTTGCATAAACATCTATTTAACAATATAAGTAATTTTTATCTATGAAATGATTTGCTTTGTTCATATGTACCAGTAGAATACAAGCTTCTAGAGGACAGAAGAAGTGATGTTTTTCGTTTTTGTCTTTGCATCATCAGTGCTTAGCATAGTGCATTGCTTAATAAATGTTTGTTGGACTGGATTAAATTTAATTTATGCACTGTAGGGAATCAAGGGAAAAGAGTGTTGTACAAATAGATGACATAAATAGAAAGGGAGTAGTGGCAGGGCTCACCTCCAACTTTGGGGAACTAGTAATTATGTAATGGTAGATAATGTGTTACTAAGGAGAAGATGAGGATGTTATTCAACACAAGCCATATGTAATAGAACAACATCTAGGGACAACATACAGCTATGTTATGGATCTAGGTCATCATAATCCTAGACCAGTATACAGAAGCAGAGAATATGTTCAAATATTAGGCTAGAATTCTGGGCTTGGAAGAGACTTTGAGGACTAGATACCCTGATACCATCCATTTACTGATAAGAAGGGTCCAGAAAGGCCTAGAATGGCCACGGTCACACCAAAGGTTTGTCTGTTAGTCTTTCTGTCTGTCTATCACTCTATCTACCTATATCTGTCATAAAGGACAATTGTAAATTATCTCTATATAATACATTCAAGGAATAAACTCTAGTATGATTTCTATAAGGCCAAAGATCATGAGTTACCCTAGAAAAGTAGAATGTAAAGAAAATATCCAATACATGAATTTGATTATGTGATCACCATACCAGGGATTCTGAACTCTAATTTTACTTAGCACAGAGAATTTCAAAGTATGTTGTAAAATTTTCAAAATTCTCAAAATAAAATTATTTCCATGAATTTTTTAAATAGCAATGGAGAATGCAGACTCCCTCCTCCTCCACTCTGCCCTTGACAACTCACACACCACCACCCACCAAAAAAAATCCACAAGATTTAAAAATTCCCAACATCCTCTCCAAAAAGAAAAAAGAAAAAGGAAGGAAGTGTTACTCTTCCAATCATACAGTGAAGCTATCTTTTGGAAATCACGTTTTAAGTTTTATAGATGAAGAAATTGAGATAAACAGAGATTAAATGACCTGTCCAGGGTTACACAGCAATAATTGTCTGAAGCAGGATTTGAACTCAGTCTTTCAGACTCTACATCTAGCATTTTATCCATTACACCAGCAGTTGCCTTTCAGATAATTATCTAATATTGCCTAAACATGTAACAGTGTATAGTAGAAAGCACACTTTCTCTGGAGCCAGAGTACCTGAGATCAAATATCACTTCTGTTGATTATTACCCACGTGATCTCGAGTAGGTCACTTAAACTTGCTAGGCCACAATTTCCTCATCTGCAGTATGGGTAGTTTGGACTACATGACCTCTAAGGAGAGGTCAGGTAGACCAACGTAAGTACAAGAAAGCAACACACAGAGTACCTGAAACCCCAAACCAAATATTTTATGCAGCTCTAATGTGAAGAATAAACTCATTTGCAATCTCTGTCACCAACTTTTCTAGGTAAAAGCTAAAGTGTTTAAGAGATGACGTATGGAATCAAAGTTACACTTAGGAAGCAGGTATGTAAAGTCCTAAGCTGCCTTTTCAACACTGCCTCTGGATTTAGCATTTCAGTCTAAGGTCACATCTACCCTGATGCAATACACGACAAGCCTAATGAATGCAGTTCAAGATTGTCACTTGCCTACAGTACCACAATGCAAAATTTAAAAAACCTTGTTTCGCATCACTGGAAAGCAGTTCAGCATAAGATTTAGAGCCAGAAGAGAATTTAAAAATAATCTAGTTTGGCCCCCTCAATTTACCAAAAAAAGGAAACAGAGGACTAAAAGAGTTGAAATCTCTTGCCACAATTCATATAGCAGGTTATAGAATAGAGCCTAGTCCAGGGATGGGAACTTGCAGCCTCAAGGCCACATGTGGCCTTCTAGGTCCTTGGGTATGGCCTTTTGATTGAGTCCAAGTTTTACAGAACAAATCCTTTTATTAAGGGGATTTGTTTTGTGAAGTTTGGATTCAGTCAAAGGGTCGCACTTGAGGACCTAGAGGGCCACATGTGGCCTCGAGGCCGCAGGTTCCCCATCACTGGTGTACACTCAAACCCAGGTCCTCAGGCCCTGAAAGGGCAGATGGCTAAGAGCCATTTTCCCCCTTATGCTACTTCTGCTATTCAGATCTCTGGAAAGCAAAGGCAACATTTAATCTAAGGCACAGAATGAACAGTGAACTGGTACTGAAAGAGTACTTATTTAGAAGAAGCAATTCATATGAGCACATTAATTGTTAAGTTTAATTTGCTACTTGCAATCCAAGAAGGAATGGAAAGCACATTTGCTCTGGAATGTGTTTCAGAGCTGGGTAAAATATTTAGTTTTGAGGTTCAAGCACTTGGTGTGCTGATACCTTGTACTTGTGTTGGTCTTCATGGCCCCTCTTTCTACATAGATTTAGAGCTAGAAGGTATCTAAGAGGTCATGTAGTCCAATTTACCCATACTGCAGATAAGGAAATTGTGGCCTAGCAAAAAAGAAAAAAAAATTAATTAAAATTTTACATCTCTATAGCAGAGATTTGAAGTTCCTTCCTGGTTACAATGGTTCCAACTTGTAAGTTTTTCCTTACATATTACTGAAAAAAACCCAAAACAATGCATTGCCAGCTTGTTGTATCAGTCCCATTGAAATAAAGTTAGGCAGATAAAGTATTGGAGTCACCAAGGGCTGAGTTCAAATCCAGCCTCAGATACTTACTAACTGTGTGACCCTGGCTAAGTAACTTAACCTCAGGTTACTCATCTGCACCTACCTCACAGGGATGCTGAGAGGTTAAAATAACACATGCAAAGTGTTTGGCAAACCTTAAGCAGTATAGAAATGCTAGCTATTACAATTACAGAGATTGGGATCATTTTATATACCTATAATGAATTTATTTGCGGCATTCTTACCCCTAAATATAATATGATTCCATGAAACACAAATCTCCAGAAAAAACATCGCCGAAGGGCATTAATGAGTTTGGGTTTTTTCTTTGATGCCAGCTCTCTGTCCCATTCCCTGAAAAAGAAACACAAAATACGAGACCATTAAGTTGGAAGGACAATGTTTGGGTTGTTATGTGCTCTCAACATAGTTTGATTCACCCAAGTATTTCCAAGGAGATTTAGTCAAATTGACTTAAGAAACAAAAAAATTTGTAAAGACCCCAAAGACCCAATGCTCACTGACTTGATAACTCAATAAAAGTTCAAATCTAGTTCAGTCACATATTTGGCACATTTAAATGCCTCACCATATATCACCCTTCAGGGAATTGATTCATGAAAAGGTCACAGTGTATTTCTTAACGGAAAGCACTGTACTGTCTAACACCAGAAATAATGGGCAAAAAATTTTAGGAGTTTCTATAACCTTCAGAAAGAAGAAAATCAGTTTAAAAGAAAAGAAAGAAAAAAAAACAGAAAAGGTATTCTAAAATATGTCTTTCAAAATTTTGTAAGTTTAGCAAAAAATTTTCCTAGATCTTTACCACTTAAGTAGCACATACAATTTAAACTCAAACAGTAAGCTGAAAAGTTAGAAGGTTGAATTTTCCTAATATCTTAGTTTTGTCTGGATTTATGATTCCATCTAAGTAAGAAACTCCCTCACTGGGAGTTATGAGCTTAAAATTATGAATCTATCTAATATTCTCACTCATTGGAACTTCCCTATACCAATGCCCAGACCAGCAATAGTTCTGCAAGCTATAATCTTTTTTTTATTTGTTTTTATTTTTAAGCTTATTGATGACTTTTCCCCCACCAAAGTCATCTCCTTCTTCACTGAATTCCACCTTGTATCAGAAACAAGCACACACATATCTACATAAATAAACAAAACACAGGGCAATTGTGATCCCATCTGACAGGATATACCACATTCCATACATATTGTCTCCCTCTTCTCCAATGAACAAATGGAGAGATGTTTCATCATCAGTTCATTGGAGCACTTAAAAACACCCATTTACCAATCTATTAATTTGCTAGCCCACACATAGCACAGGAATCCTTCAGCTTAAAAGTTTACTGTTCTATGATCTGAATGAGAATGGTTTCACTGTTAACTGTCTATTTGGAGTATCACAGAGCCCAGCCCTGTAAGCTCTCCATAATTAATGATAATCAATCAGCACTTTTGTCCCACTTCAATGATCACAGTTTCCATATATTTCATAACCAAAAAGATGAAGGAGGGTTTGACCCAACTGAAAACAATGACTTTTCATGCAAATCTTTTTATTCAGATGGGGTTCCTCCTGGAAGATTTGAGTTTGATTACTTCAAAACCAATGTTAAAAAAAATCTTAAATATTAAAAAAAATTTTCTCTGTGGTGAATTAATTACCCTTGGGTTCTCAAAAGCATGCAGTTTATAGTCTTAAAAAGTTGCCTAAGGCACTAAGAGGTTAAGTAACTTACCCAAAGTCCTACCACTAGTATGTATTAAAGGTATCTCTCTTGCACCTCTCTTGACTCTTCTAGGGTCAACTTTCTCCGCATGATCTCTCTTTTAGTTTAGTATTAGATACAGTTTTAAAAGTGAAAGATTTAAAATAGTAAACAAGATCAACTTAAGGAATTCACCATAGCTATTTTGTCATACCTAGTGTTAGGAATAGAAATTATGTAGTTAAGAAACTGAGAAATTCTGCCTGTATTTCTACTACACCGTTTGTTTACTTTTTGTTAAATACTATATCTGTCATTAGATATTATCATCTTGTAAAATATTGGTAGTGTTCAGTAATTTTCCCATTGTGTCCAACTCTTCATGACTCCATTTGGGGTTTTCTTGGCAAAGATACTGGAGTTTGCCATTTCTTTCTCCAGTTGTTCTCAGAGTATCCTGTTAATAAAAAGCTTAAAGTTCCATGCATCCCTATCTTTTTCTAAAGTAGCATTGTATTTCTAAAGAATATCAGTATATTGGGGGCAGCTAGGTGGTGCAGTGGATACAGCAACAGCCCTGGATTCAGGAGGACCTGAGTTCAAATCCAGCCTCAGACACATAATACTAACTGTGTGACCCTGGGCAAGTCATTTAACCCCCATTGCCTAGTCAAAACAAAAAACAAAAATCCAAGTCACTTAACCTCAATTGTCTCACCAAAAAAAAAAAATCAGTATGCACTATTCTCTAACCATTCAGAGATCAAATATACAATAACTTGTGTAAGCAGTTACAAAGTAGAGGACAATTCTGCATTTTGTAAACTGGCATGCCTATTAATGTCATTCTGCATAATAAAGGCAAGACACTCATGAGAAGATTCAAAGTCAAGCGAGATGCCTGTGTGCAACTCAGAGTTCTCCAGTCCAAGGAGTGGCCCTACACCTGGAGCCTGGAGTGAACCCTGTGCTCAACTCAGTCCCATGATTTCCATACTTCCTGGACAAGTGTCCAGGCTATTATCCATTGAAACCTTGGAAAGGCAAGAGGCTAGACTTTCTCTGAAGATCCAGGAACAGAATTCAGGAACTGGAAGTGACCTCAGTGGCCATCTAGTTCAACTTGTACATGCACTGGGAATCATCTGTTGCTTCTCATAAAGAGACTGGGGGTCTAGGTGATGTGAAAAGTTAAGTTTATAAAGGGCTCTACAAACATCTTTGGCAAGTGGTCATTCAGCTTGATCAAGCACAAATAAGAATAAAAAGAGGACAGATCATGAATTGAGAATAGTAGACAAAAGATGCTAAGATGGCATGCTAGTAAACTCAAGATAGTTAATACAATGGAGGCCCATTGTGTATTAGATTGTTGTTTGTCCTTTATTTTGAAGAGGACCAATGACATCATAGGGTGCTGTCTTGACTGGTGAGGGAATCAGAGTTAAGTGAGGCAGAGTTTCATGAAGTCATGAGCCTCACTCTCTCAGAGTCATCAAAGTCCTGTGGCAAGACAAAAGTCAGGACAACTGGTGATGACCCGGGATGCAGTGGATGACTATGTTAAGTAGATGGTCTTTGGAAGAATTATTGGGAGATGTGGTTAAGAATTATATAGAATGAGGTATGGAAAGATCATGATCTGCTTCCATAAGGGGAATGCCCCTCTCCCAATAAAATTATGGTTCTATCAATTTATAAATAAGCAATAGAAGAACAAAAATAATTTTGGATTTCTTTACAAGAGTAAATATTACTTCTTAACTGTCAAATAGCTGTTACATTAAAACAATCCCTACAGGCAATATATTGACTTAGAAAATCATAAATTAACATCATGTATGTTGTGTTTTTATCTATTTTGTTAAGCCTTTCCCAGTTACATGCTGGTGGCACTCACTGTGGGCTACAAGTTTGATACCTGTGGTCTAGTATATAATGGGGTGGGCTTGGAATCAGGAAGAGCTGGGTTCAAATTCTAGTTCCAATGACAACTATACGTGTTGTTCCTAGTCAAGTTATTGAATCACCAGGTACCTCAGGCCACTCCCTCAGATATCTTGAGGGTATCCCTAGTCTCATGTGTTAATGAAATGAGTTTCATATGGTGAAGAAATCATGGATCTTTAGAGTGTTTATAAGTTTTAAGGGTCCTAATAGCACTTTTTAAATTTCAGAAACTATAAAATTTATTATTTTGTTTCACTCTTTCCAATAGACAGTACTTACTACTATTCAAATTAACATTTCCCTCCAAATTACCTAATCACTTTTATGCTTCTAAAAACAGTATGGCAAGTACTTTTTACTCTTCAACTGTAAAACAGATACATATGATCATACCTTTCTAATTTTTCAGATAGATGGTCTGCAGAGTTAGAGGAGGGAATTTGATAAATGTCTGACAATTCCAAGCGTTGTCTGAAACCTTTCCTCAAAATTGGTCTAGTCCAACTGAAAAGTAAAATAAGAGAGAAATAAATATTAATTTCAGTCTGATTCTAAGATAAATTTAGACTGCAACTTGATTAATTTTTATGGGTGATATAATAAAACAAATTATTCATATGCATTTATAAATAGAATTACAAGCCAATTTAATATTCTTCAAGCATACTATCATTTAACTCCTCAGAAAGAAAAAAAAGGTCTGTATCACAATTGTACTTGAGACTCTAAAAGCTCTTTGTAGATAAGATCTCATGAGGCTTACCATTACACCTTATCACATATTTAATTATTTTGGCTCTATGTTCTGGATGAATTTTGAAAAATTGGATGATATATAGCTCAAGATTTTGTAAATAGTTTGCATTATTTAGTTTCAATAAATCATCTTATCTGACCAGGCTTAACTCTTAGAAGCCACAGAGCACGACTTTTGTATGGGTTTTGGGGGCTGTTTTTGTTTTTTTTTTTTTGGTTTGTTTTTTTGTTTTTGGTTTGTGTTTATCTATGCCCTGCAGCACTGTAAATAGTACCATGCAGTAACAGCCATTCAGTAACAATGAGTTTATGACAGCAATTAATTAAATAAATTGAACCTTAAACTGGGCAGGATCTGTCATTCTGATAGATAACTTTTAACCCTTAAAGTTTCAGATAGACAATGAGCTAGGCCTAGCCCTGAAAAAGTAGAGAGTAGGTAGGTCTGTTTCCAGCAAATTGCAAAGCTCTTTTTCTTTTGTACTGAGGTCCAAGCTTCTGATGAAAACAAAGGCCTACTTTTTCAATGCTAAAATTTCACTAATGTTTCTATATGGCAGCAGCAAAATATGGAATGCCACTGCATAGAGAACAATGGAGAGGTTCATGGTGGATATAGTAGTATACAGCATGGAACTCCAAAGAAGAACAGGAATAAAAGATGTCATGAAGGAATTGTGTGATAAGGACAGCGGATGGGCTAGTCATGTGGCAGCCAGACATGCAGAGTATTCGAATGATGTTGAGAAAATGAGGAAATCCTTCAGCTTGTTGGGTAAACTTCCCATAGAGAACATGTAGGAAAACATGGACAAGAGAGGTACAGGATGGACAGGAATGAATGGGCTGTAATTTATACTGTTGGAGTAAAATGGATCCATTTTAATATTTGAATATTAAAGCTTCACATTAGATTCAAGTGATATGACCTTCATTTTATAAACTGAAGAACAAAAATCAAAGTGGAGATTTCATAAGATGAAAAGAAAAATGAATACCTATTAACTGCATAGGCATAATGGCTAAAGTCCCATTCAAAAATATTTTTAAAAGAAACCAGAATTGTGATAATAACCTAAGTTTTTGTTTAATAAACAAGTATCCTGGTACTCTCCCACTAAACATAAAGCTTAGTGGCCTCCACTTTCTTACCTATCACTTACTTATTAGCCCCCTGAAATAGTGGTTTCTAATTATCCCCCCACCCAACTCAAAGGAAACTGTTTTCTCCAAGGTTACCAATGACTTCTCAGTTGCTAAATTCAATGGCCTTTTCTCAGTGTTTAGCCTTCTTGACCTCTCTGTAGCATCTGACACAAGTGACCACCACTGTTGGATACAATTTCTTTTCTAGGTTTTTTACAACACTGCTCTCTCTTTGTTCTTTTCCAATCTACCTGGCTCTTCCTTCTCAGACTCCTTTGATGGATCACCATCCCCATTCTACCCCTAATTTTGAATGTATCCCAAGATGTCTTGAGTATTTTCCTCTTATTATCAGTTTCCATGGGTTCAATTATCAACTCTCCTCAAATGACCCTCAAATCTAAATATTCAGTTCTCATCTCTCTCCAGAACTCTAGTTCCTTATCATCAACTTCCTGTGGGACATTCTTCTTGGATGTATAATGGGCATTTCAACCTTATTATGTCCAAAATAGAAATCATCTTCACCTTCAAAACTAACTTACTTCCTAACTTCCTCATTTCTGTTGAAGGTACCACCATTCTTCCATTCACCAAGGTTCTCAACATCAGATTATTCTGAATCGTCACTGTCCCTCACTCATAATATCCAATACAAGTCTTATCAATTCTACCTTATCAACATTTCTCATAAGTGTCTCTTATTATTCAATCACATGGCTACCATCCTACTAGTTTGGGCCTTTATGACCTCTCACCTGGACCATTGCAAGTCTCCTTATTGGTCTCCTTGACTCTAATCTCTACCTGCTTCAATTCATCCTACATACAGTTCCCAAACTGTTATTCCTAAAGTATAGGCCTTACCTTGCCATTTCTCTTCATATGGTCAAATACAAACTTCTCTGGTATAAAAAGTCCTTCATAATCTCTTTCCATCATGATGTTTCCAAACAGATTTCACATGACTCTTACACACTCTATATTCCTGCCAGACTGGCCTGGCTATTCCCCATGTATAACACTCCATCTCCATCACTGTGTTTTTGCACAGACTGTAACACATATCTGGGGAATGTTCTCCTTTATCACCTTTCCCTCTTAGAATTACTAACTCCTTTCAAGATTTATAACAAATGCCACTTTCTAATGGCCCTTCCTGATCCACCCAACCTGTTTTTCATGTTCTACCCCATTTTCATGTTCCACCCACTCCCTCATAATTATTTTGTATATACTTTTTATATATTTTGTATAGAGTTATCTGGGTACAGTATGTTTCCAGTAGAACCTAAGTTTCTTGAGGGTAAAAACTTTTGTATGTTTTATCTTTGTATTCCCAGCACCTAGCATGGTGCCAGGCAATATAAGACACAATAAATTCTTTCTGAGTTGAATGGAAAGAGAAATTTCCCAGAGACTTTTCTGGTTATGAAACCTTTTCCAACACTTACTTGCTTCAAGAAAAACTTCAGATCCCCATTAGAACTGGGTATAGACATCCTGATTCCCTAACTTTTAAAAAAAAATTATAGAGAACTTCCTTCCCTATAATCCCCTTCTTTTGACTTAGAGTTCTAAGCACTATACTCAGTGCCTGGCACATAATAAATAGGTGCTTAATAAATTCTAGCTGACTGACTGACTAATGTATTGTGGCATTTGGATTATGGTGTCCATGATAGATAAAAATATATGCTAAACTTACAAAGAAAAAGGAAATAATATTTTGGTATTATTGGAGACCCATCAACAATAGTGAAAAAAAGCTCAGATTCCATGTTAAGTATAAACATTATGTCATTCATCCAGATAGATAAATAGACAGACAGACAGACAGACAGGCATTAGGAGACTACGGTGACAAAGGCAAAATTCTAAGGCTGGTAACTTTTGTTTTCAATGGTCCACCACTGCACTTTCAGTACCCCCATTACCTGGTGTTAGATGCGTTAGTGCCTGTGCCTGGCTACTTTAGTAGGCACTCTGTGCCTCAACAGAACTTTCCCTTAGGCAGCACTTCATTCCTAGAACTTTTCCTCCTCCACTCATCAAACTTATCTATCCGTGACTAGTCTCATCCCTACAGGACTCTGTTTGATCTTTCAGGTTAGGTAGTCTCTTAAACCACTCATCACTTAGACATTAATGAATGATAACACCTTAATTAATCTGATAACTAATAGTAGTAGCTTTTCAATTGGGATTTTCAAGAAGTAACATAAAGCGTTACTAAGTAGGAACTTCAAGCATTTGGCAGAGATGGGAAGGGGTAAGAAAAAAATGGCAATGAGCGAGAGCCTCTCAAACATACCAACAAAGGATTGTATCATTTAGAACCTGAAAGAATTTTTGAGTTTATTTATTCTAACCCTAATGTTTTTAAAATTAAGAAACTGAGGCCCAGATAGGTGAAGTAACTTGTCCAAGATCACATAGTTAGTAAACAGTAGAACTGTGATTCAAAGTCATGTTCTCATGCCCCAAACCCAATGTCTTTTCCTCTATATCACAAGGGGGATAGTTTCTTATAGCAGCTCAATTGGTCCTATTCTGTGACTCTCTGGAACAAAGTTCATTTTTACCTTACATTTTTTCATTATTCTAAATAAATTAATACATCTTTAATGATCACGAATGAAATTCATGATTCAGCTTCTAAAATAAAGAGCAAGTCGATAAATTCCTCAGAAATTTATCTTGCCCAAATCAATAAATATTGACTCTCTATTCAAGTCAATAAGTATTCATTGAAGTCTTACTGTATAGAAAGTACAGGCCTAGGGAATGAGTAAGAAATACCTAAAGAATTGAAGAGATCACCATTCTCAAAAAATTGTTTATAACTTTCTCCCTTTTCCTTTTAGAGCTATAGCTAAAGTCATTATTTCCTTTTTTTCTCCTTTAGAACAGAGGTTCTTAATCTTTTTTGTGTATGCTATATACCCCTTTGGCAATGATGAAACTGATGGACCCCTTCTCAGAATAATATTTTTGAATGCATAAAATAAAATATATAGAATTAAGAAGGAAACTAATTATATTGAAATACAGTTAGGAATTTAAAAAAACAAAAACAAAAAACAAGTGCATGGGTTCCAGACCAAGAACCCCTGATCTACAGCTATCTCTAAGGTCAGTAAATGTCATTCTTTTCATGTGACTATGGTGCATTTCTCATTCATTTCAGAATAGCTTGACTTTAGGAGAAATTAATAAAACCTTCCTGCATCCTCTGAACCCTCATTATGTACCACGTGGTACCAAACACTGGGATTATGTACAAAATGAGTTCCTAAACAACAAATGAAGCTGAAATATTCCAACATGAAGGATAGAGAACAAAACTAATTCTACTACCTAAAGGGCTTGAAGCCATTAAGTGCTACTACTGGACACATCAACCACAGGTAACTGAACACAGCTTAGTCTATATTCATAACCTATAACTTCTGGAAGAGTATTGGAGCAAAGTAAATCATTCAGTAGTTGGCATCAAATCCGCCAAAGGCTTATCGGCTCTACAGGCAAACTCTCAAAAAGTGTCAAGAGTTCTTAAAATTGCAATATCTTCATGACATAGGAACAAAAAATGTTTTTGC